CTCAAGGCACAAGTCCACTGGGCGGCATCCACTGGCTCCACTAAAGCCCTTTAGGGGCAGTGGGCGCTGTCCGGGGTTCTCTGCTCGGTGTCCCCGTCTGGTTCTCTTCTTTTGACCCTTTGACCACACTCCTGTCCCTGTTTTTACATTAGTTGTCCCCCGTAATTATTTGAGTTCCAGGCCCTGTGGATCCTCCCCTTAGGCTGGGGGGGGATCCTTTAGCAGGGGATCCTTTAGCATATTCCCAGAACCCAATATGTACACCTGTCACAGCGAGGGATTCAGCATGCGGCTTCTGCCATCCTCCTTCCCTCGCCCGCCTAAGCCTAGGAACTGCGCCTGCCCCTCTCTTGTGGTACTGCAGCTGCTGGCTCGAGTCAGACCAAAGCCATCAGAGGGGGCAGCAGCAGGACTATGCCTTGGCTTGCTTTTACAGCTTGTCTCTCTTGGTGGCAGGGCAGGGCCGTGCCAGTTACCGGCACTAGGACTCCCAGCAGGGAATTCTCCCTGTTCCGAAAGCCACCCAGCTGATTTGGCCTGACCATGCAGGGCTGGTGTTTGGTGGGATGATGCAGACCATGAACAACACACTAAGGATGACCAGCGCTAATCAAAAGCTGATGTTGCACAGCTCAGGCCTCACACCCACACAGGGACTGTGCGAAACAATGGGATACGCCCAGGGAATTCACACTCCAGCTGCTACGTTATCTCGTGGAAACAGGGAAAAAACTTGAGCTGGAGCTATTTTATTTTCAGACAAGTAAAATCATGTTGGTTTTATAGTAGACTGGGAGCCCAAGGGAAATTAATTCACCCAACAGCAGAAATTCTGTCATCACACATATCAGTCAGTCTGGATAATGGGAAACTCCAGGTTACAGGAAACAAGTGGCGGGGTCTGGCCTAAAATAACGATCAAGGGAGGCTATGAGAAAGCAAGCGAGCCAGAGATTTTCTTCCTGACTGCAAATTCGTACAAGTGCACATCAAAGGTGCAGGGCAGTTTTTCTTACACCCAAGACAGGAATATTGCCAGTCCTAGAATGGAGTTTGCATAAAGCAACATGATTGTGAGCCTGGGGCCTCAGCTTGTAAGATGCTGAGCACCTCGTCCCTGGGAGCTCCTTGTAGGACTGGCTCCCTGGTGCGTCAGGCACATGTTGCACAATCTATTTGGTGCTGTTGGCCAGGCTCCGTTTCTCTAGCCCTGCCCCCTTTTCCCCACTACAGCAGCGGTGGGGAGAGTGGCATTACAGCCCCTCTGTCAGCTCCATTGCTCTGGAAGATCATCCACTGGGGTGATCCTCCTTGAGCACATTACACTTCCCCTCTGGGGACCTCTGGTTCTCTTCCCGTCCTTTGTCTGTTCGGACGGTCCGCTCTTCTGGGCAAGGGCCATCTCTGTGCGTGCGTCTGTGCTGCACCCAGCACTGTGGGGCCCAGCTCTAGGTGCTACTGGAATATACAGAATAGTCATCAGGTGAGTTCTGCTACCCTCGATAGACAGAGCAGCCCCTCTGATGGGCGGCAGGGAGCCTCCCCCCGGAGCAGGCTGGTGAATGCCCTTCTCATTGCCTACCTTCTCTCTATACGTTTGTCTCCTGAAAGCCAAATGCCTAGACCCCAGCCCCTGAGAGCTGAAACGTGTCACCAAAGCATGCTGGCAGGCGGCAGCATCCCCCCATTGTCCTCCCAGATCTGAACCCCCGAGTAATGCAACTCCTGGGCCCTTTAATTGCTTTGGTCGACGTAATCCATTGGTGAGTGTCTGTTCCAGGTCCAGAGAGGCTGAGTCTATTACAGCCCTAGCTTGGGACCTTTAAGTTGGAGCTGAAGCTGCTTGTGCTATTAGCACTGGAGAATCCCGGTTGGATCCCCAGTGGGCTGGCACTGCCCCCTTTTGCTGTCTGTCTGGTTCGGGGGCACCAGGGTGTGTCCTTGGCATGCAGACGCTCTGCAAAAGTTGGGTCCCGTTGAGCCAGCAGCTTCTTTGGGTGTAAATCACAAGGGTGACCACCACTTCCAGCAAACAGTGACCCCCAGAATCCCAGCCTTTTATGCCCAGCCAGCACTCCAGCCAGGACATGCAGGCAGCCAGGCTGAAGATGCCTTTGGAAGCCTCAAGGGCCCAATCCTGCAAGGTGCTGACTGCCCTCCATTCCTGGTGCTCAGCACTGTATGGGCTCAGGTCCTAAGTTCATGTTGCATTAGATACGCCCCATGGCAGCTGTGATTCCCAAGGCAACAGCTGTGAGGCTCTAAGGTCCTGGGGCAATCAGCCATTACATAAGACCATGGACACCTATAAGCACACAGATTGTTTTTATGGTAGCACAACATGAGAGCTACCTGAAATGAGCTGATGATTTTAGCCAGCTCCTAGCACACAGGTGGCTGCATCCCATCGCCATTGTCCTCACGGTAGGTTTCATCTGCTCTATTACATGGGGAAACCGAGGCACATTGTGGCAAGGGGAGGGGTTTTCAAAGGGCTCCTAAGTCATTTAGGTACCAAATCAAACTGAAAGTCAATCGGCCTTGCACTCCTAAGCCACTGAGCCCTTCTGGAAAATCCTGCCCAGGGAGTCCGTGGGGTAGCTGAGGCTAAAACTTCACAACCTGTCTTCATCCCTGCAGGCTGGATGGCCACTTTAATTCTGAATAATAATAATACTAATCCCTAGCTCTTACCTAGCGCGTTCCACCCCCTGAGCTCAGAGCACCCTCCAAAGCAGGTTAGGAGCATTAGCCCCCCATTTACAGATGTGCTGCGCTTTCCCCACCTGTAAAACAGGGACCGTGACCCTCCCTCCCACCATTCCCCATCATTTGTTGCAAGGCTTCTGGAGCGATGGAGGGTCCCTGCCTAAGACAGGATGCAGGAGCTGGGGGAGTGGTGGGAAAGGTTGCTGCAGACATACTGCAGCTAACTCACCATTCAATTCAACCAGGCTCATGTCTGTAAAAGGGTTGGCAGCACTGGCGTGACTCATTGTGGCTGGGTGTGGCACAGCAGCTCTTTCCTCATCTAGTGCCCCCTGCTGACAGCTGCTCCACCCCCTGTGGTGGTCTCTCTTTACCAAGGAGGTAGGCACAGATTTTACAGATGGGGAAACTGAGGCACAGATCTGTTAAGTGACTTGTCCGAGAATATCAAGCAGGCCAGGGGTGGAACCAGGAACAGCACCCAGGCTGCTTTCTCTCCTAGGCTGCACTGCAGAGGTGTCAGGTGCCTGGTGGGACAGGAACTCTCACATGGTGGACATTTGGCCTTCCCTCCTAAGCCAGGGCAGGTAATCTTTCTATATTTTGCATACACCAAATTGCATACACAGATAGGGCTATGTACCACATTATTATCTGAGATATAGCGAGAGTGCTGCCTGTCTGACAGGGACTCTGAATAGATGGGACCTATGAAACTAACCATGAAGGTTTGGAACCTACTGGCAGAAAAACACTGTAGAAGGGCCAGGAATTATTATCTGGGGAAATTTCCTCAACAACTAAAGAGGTGGCGTGAGCCCGAGTGCCAGGAACCCCTGAGATCTGCTCTGACACTGACTCCCAGGGAACCTCTGGCCTCATTTAACCTCTCCATGACTGGCTCCCCTACCTCGGAGAGGCACGGTGGGTTACTCCGGCATTTGTGCAGTGCGGTGCAGATGTGAAGCTTCCACAAACACTAGCTTTCCTTGTTAATGGGCTGCAAAGGGAGTCCTGTCCAGTTCCCCAGAGAAGCATCACAGAGTGATAGAAATGAGCACAGGGAGGACCAGTAAGGATCATGTCCCAAGTTTTCTCCAGAACAGGGGTCAAGACTGTTTGAAATGTCCCCAGTGAATGGGTCTCCTCACACTTCTCTCTTTGAGATGCCCCCACAGCCTCTCAGCTTGGAAAGCTCTCTTCATATTCAGCCTGAGTTTTCTTTGATCGATTTCATCCTATCTCCCTAGTTATTGGACACAGGGTCTGAGAGGTGCATTGTAAACTGTTCGGGACAGGGACCACCTACTCCTCTGTGTTTGCACAGCACCTAGCACACTGGTGTCCCATTCTTGGATGGCCCTTAGGCACTGCCGGAATAAACACAATAATAATGATGATGTGTAGTTTCAAGGTGATCCTGCGTGTGCGAGGAGGGCGGGGCGGGGCTCCATCTGGGATACAGATGACTCTACCACACACACACTTTGGAATCCAGTGAATTTTGTACCATTGGAATGTGAATGATTTTCTTTGTGCCTCTTTTCCCTCTGACCAGCCCTTGCTTTCTTCTCCCAGCAGCATGACGAGGATCGGCTCACCAACACATTTCCTGTGGCTACCCCATCCCCTTCCCCCAGAGAAAGAATGCAGCTTTGCTAAATCAAGGCCAGAGCAAAGCAGAAAAAGTGCAGTTTTGTACTTTTTTTTCTGGCCCACTTTGAATTAATTAAGGAATGTGATATAAACTATAAATACCTCCTTCCCGTCTGATTGATGGTCTTTTTGTCCTGGATCGGTATGCGCCTAATCTCTGATTAGAAGCCCACCATCTGTTTTTATTGATTTGCTTGCCAGAGCCTATTGCTCTGTTTGGCCTTATATGGGAAAATTAGGTATGTGGCAGGCAAGCCAGATTCTAGCCCACTATTACATCATCTCTTAGAACTGCTCAGGAGTCTCAGCTCAGTTCAGGCCTCGGTCTCCTGGAATGCTCTATTCACTGACTGTGTGAAACTTTAACTTCTGTTTCCAACAAAGCCCCATTCTTTACTGAAGCATCTGCCAAGTTCAGCCTCCCTCCATGTAAGTCATTATCATCAGCCCAGAGTGGGGAACTGGTTTTTGCACTTCAAGAAGAAAAGGCTTGAGTGGTTCCCCGCGTCTTCATCCATAAATCGGGCTGCTGCTGGCTCCATTCAGTCACTTTCAGTAAGGGGGGATGTCTCCCTAAGAAAACATTCAGAGTTTATTCATTCAATCTGAGAGGGATTCAAGCACTTTATTAACTGGGCAGATGATACTACATGATCCCAGACTGAGAACTCCATTAAGCCACAGTTACAGTTGTAAACATGTGCTAGGTCCAGAGGCAAGCAAAAAGTAAAATGTTTAAAAAGCTGGAAAGGCAGCGGGGAGGGTCCCCAGACTCAGTTCTGCACCCTGCTCACCTGGGCCTCCTCCATGTCAGGCAGAGAGAGGTCAGCCACAAGTACCACAGCAAGTTGGCATCTTAAACATTGTGGGTAACATTTTCAAAAGCACCTTACCAGCTTAAATTACTTTGGCCCAGATGCTCGAAGGTATTTAGGCTCCTCACTTTGAATGAAATCAATGGGAGTTAGGTGCCTAAATGCCTGTGGCTTTAGCCACTAAGGGGCCAAGTCTCCTTGACTTTCAATGGGACTTAGGCACTTTTGATAATTTGCCTCATGTCTTGCTAATGTGGTCATGTAGTTTCCCTGTGAGCAGGGTCTCCTTGCTGTTTGCAGTGGGACGGAGATTCCATGAGAACATACATCCCGAGAGAGCCCTTGAGCTGCAAGGCTGGGTAGTGGAGTGTGAAATCCTCCAGTAATGATTTCCAGAGGCCGAGGAGAGCTCTGCAGCACCTTGCCAAGGTCACTGCTCACCGGGAGAGCAGCCTGTCCTCTCTTGCAGCAATCCGACATTGCTAGGCAACTGCAGAGCTGCGGCATGGGGGAGTCGCATCGCTAGGGAAACCCACCGTGTCTCCGTGGGAGACGGGAAGCTGCTTGGCTTACATATTCCATGAACATCCAATACTGGTGAGACATAAGACAGGAGAGAGGAATGGGAGCAAGACCAAGCCTTTGCTCTGCACTGATGACATGACTGGAAATGCCGAGAGCTGCAGCTGCTAGGTTCATCTGCTGTTCATTGCTCCAGTGGATTCTCTGACTCCCCAGTAAAGGGGTTTTAAAGCATTTCCCTGTTGGGGTCGCCCAGCTATAGCCTTCAATAAACACTGACATAGCAGTGGCTGGGACAATATTGCTCTGAGCCCAGTCCCGTCCTACCAGGGACTCCACCAGGATTGCAGAAGGCTTCCTCCTCTTTCCCTGCTAAATCTGGGCTATTACTCCAGTGCCGAGTCCTACCGGCTTCATCTGGCCTTTGTCAGTTAGCAAAGTCCCGGGGTGACATCCTGGCCCCATCGAAGCCAAGGGGAGCTTTTCAGATTCCTTGTATTCTGTTCTTACGCTGTGCCAACCACTGTAGGATCTGAACATCTGGGTTTGTTCTCCAGGTTTCCCTACCACACACATCACCATGGTATCTGAGTGCGGCATCGAGACACAGCTTGCATGTGCCTCTCAAAGCTCATGTGATGGGAGGCTGGGCTGAGGTTGGTTGTTGATCCTTGTTATTGGTGAGAGGTGCGGCTGCCAGATGAGGGCTTGAGTGTCTGAGCCACATGCACGGGGCCCTTGCTGGTCGGGGTAGGGGGATTTTTGGATACTCCCCGTGCTCTCCGCAGGCTTTTCATTGGGAGGAAGAGTCTGCAAAAACACAGTTTGTTGCATAGTTAAAATCAGGACTGTCTCTATAATCAGGACTCACAGCCAACCCCCAAACTTCCCTCTCTCTCTACTATGTAGGTGTGATGCTCTGTAACTCGGGGGAACACCCAGCACCCCCATGTTTATAATCTTTATAAAATGATTGTGTGGTATCCAATGCAAAGTTTGTCATGTTGGGTGTCTTCGGAAGGCTCATAATGCACTGAGCATGGTTGTTATAGTGATGTTATAGTAATTGTTACAGTAATGTTATAGTAAGGTTATCAATTTCTTTGTTAAATTGATGAATTAATATAAGCTTGCAGCGTCCAGCTGGCATAACTAGACACTGCAAGATGGAGGTTCCTAGGGTTGTGTCTGGCCCGGAGATATTGGCTCGTGTCATTTGCTTGCTAGTAGCTGGGAGCAGCTTACATTCCAGAGGCTGTGCGTGAACAGCCCAGGAGTGGGGGTTCTCACAGCAGAGCAGGGTAAGGCTGGCTCCCAGAGTCAAGGATTGAAGTGGCCTAGCAGATCACTGGTCCAGACAACACCAGAGGGGAACGTCACAGTAGGAAGTCCTGCTGTGGCGCTACAGGAGAATGCTGGCTCTGTATGAAGGTTGCAATATACCCTCTGGCAGTGTGCAGTGATTGCCCCAGGGGTCTGGGACAGCATCGATAGCTGTGCTTCACGTTGACTATCACAAGGCAGATTGCAGTGCTCCTTGCAGCAGGGACCATGTCGTCTCACATGTTTGTACAGCACCTAGCACAGTGGAGTCCTCATTTTGATTGGCGCTGCCAGGCACTACCACAATAGAATTGGTTACTAGGAATAATGATGTCATAACAATTTAGGAAGGATTTTGAAAAGCATCAGAGGGACTGAGGGGCTGAAGTCCCATTGACAGTTGGTGAGACGTTTGCTCCTGAGTCTGAGTTTTAGGGGCTTCTGCAAATGGCACAATGAGTCACAAGTTCAGCCCGTAGGTTCTCATGGGTTCTCCACAGGTGCCTCTTGGGTTTTATCCATTCGTTCAAGGAACATTTTAAATGAACACCCATGAGCCAAGGGGCTTTTAGCCAGCTGTCCATGGAGAATGTCACAGTTCAGGATAACTGCACCTGTATCATCCTTATGGTCTAACTAAGGCACGCACCTTTGTGCCCAGCTCCCCAACCATTGCCTCTCTTGGGCAGAGAGCCATGTCTCTCTCCCTCCTGAAGGGGGATTTCCAGACCGTACCCAACAAAGTCAGGCTGCCTAAGCCAGCCTTCTTTGCTTTTCCCCTCAGAGGTGGTACCTGGAGCAATTGCCACAGTTACAAGTTCCCACACAGCCCTTTCTAAGCAAGCACATTTATTGCTAAAGTGAAAGCATGACAGAGAAAACATGAAAACAATAAAAGAACCTACATGCACACCCGTAAGCTTACCAGAGACCACCCCAACTCCAACAAGGGCTCTGGCTGATGAGCATCCTTCAAACCCTACCCGGGGTTTTTCCTGGGGTTACCAGTTCATCACCTCTTTTGAGTCAGTCAGTTACTTCTTTATACAGTTTTGTCTTTGCAGTGTCCTCATGTAACAGGGGGATCAGAAGACAAAAGGTCCCCTCCTCAGGGTGAAGCCTCCAAGATTGAGGGCTTGTCTACGTTACCCGCTGGATCGACGGGCAGCAATCAATCCAGCGGGGGTTGATTTATCGAGTCTAGTCTAGATGCGATAAATTGACTGCCTAGCACTCTCCCGTCAACTCCAGTATTCCATCAGGGCGAGAGGCGCAGACGGAGTTGATGGAAGAGCATCAGCTGTCGACTTACCGCAGTGAAGACACCACCGTAAGTAGATCTAAATACGTTGACTTCAGCTAATGGGACCTGTGGGGGTGGTGCCTGCGGGCGAGAGCAGCGCGTAGAGCCACTTGCTGCACCTCCGCCTAGAAGCCAGACCTGCTGGCTGCTCCCGGGGCGCAGCGCCAAGTCAGGACAGGCAGGAAGCCTGCCTTGGCCCCCTCCCCCCCCCCGCACCACTGACTGGGGAGCCACAGAAGGTAAGTCCACACACCAACCCCGAGCCCCAACCCCCTGCCCCAGCCCTGAGCCCCCCCAAACCCAGAGCCCTCTCCTGCACTCCAAACCCCTCAGACCCACCCCATAGCCTGCACCCTAACCATGATCCTGATCCTGCAATCCCTTAATCCCATAGAATCACAGGACTGGAAGGGACCTCTAGAGGTCATCTACTCCAATCCTCTGCACTCATAGCAGGACTAAGTATTATCTAGAACAGCAGTTCTCAAACTTTAGCAACCTCAGGATCCCCATTTTGATTTACATTTTTTCACAGACACCCAAGTCCCAGCTCAGTCCCAGGCCTCACCCCCACTCCACCCCTTCTTCCCAGGCTCCGCCCCACCTCTTCCTGCCCCCACTTCACCCTCCTCTGCTGCCCTGAGACCTTGGCTTTTGGCGCATGGCACAACTTGTCATGCTCTCCTGCTTCCCTGCCAGCATACAGACCTGCTCGTAAGGGGTGCAAGAGAGACTCCACTGTTATCTCGAGTATTATCAGCAGACTGTTTGAAGTTCAAGTGAATGACTGAGCTCATTTTTCAGAGAGAAATTACCACATTAAAATTAACCAGCCCTATAAAAATATAATAGGCTTGTCTCTCGAGGGGACTGTTTGCAGAAGTGAAGTACAATGCGACAGAGAACAAGAGACAGGAACCCTGATTAGATCTTAAAATAGACCAGAGCCTGACATCTGAGATGAAGAAGTGGATGGACAGTTTCCACCTCCCGATAACCTCAAGCCAGTGAAACCACAGAACGACTCAGCCTCACTGAGCTGCATGGATGGCATGCTGCCCGCTGGCATCACAATGAGGTATTGTACTACGGGAAGGACAAGCCCTGTCAATGAAAGAGTAAACACCAACAGTGCTTTGAATGTGGCTGGGCTTTTCAAAGGACCTAAAGGAGTTACACGCTGTTGAATTTCAATGGAATGGGATGCCTGAGTCTCATAGGTTCTGTTGAAATCCCTTGTGCAGAGGACTAAACATATGTGGGATAAAATTTTCAAACGCATGTAAGTGACAGAGAAGCCTGAGCCCCACTGAAGGTCACTCTGAGCAAAGGCAATAGGGTTTAGGCTCCTGCATCACTTAGGTGCTTCTGAAAACGTTCTCTTTCTGTTAACATCAAACTCAGGTTCAGGTAGGAGTGTCACCAAGAACCACAGAGATCCTCAGCCAGAGACATGTTTTAACAGCACAGGGTTCATGTTCACCATGGACGCTGTTTGCTGCTACATTTCACTCAGTGAAACTTTCCAGGCCAATTTTGTCTCTGCCTCACACCGCTGTAAATCTGGGGTAACCCTCTCGATTTCAACAGATTTACACCGGTGTCCCCCAACCCAGAATTTGGCCCTGGTTCTCGTGCACTAGCACAAGCCCTTCCGCATACTAGAACACTTGTGCTAACACTGAACATCATCAGTCAACAAAGCAAGGCCTCATCCCATGAAGTGTTGAGCAGTCTCAGTGCCCCGGGTGGATAATACCAACAGTGACCAGCCAGCCCCTAGCAGGTTTGGGCGCTTGGGGTACGTCTACACTGCACTAAAACACCCACGTCTGGCCTGGGTCAGCTGACTCATGCTGCGAGGCTGTTTCACTGGGGTGTAGACATTCAGACTCGGGCTGGAGTCTGGGCTCTGGGATCCTGTGAGGTGGGAGGGTCCCAGAGCCCAGGCTCCAGCCCGAGCTTGAACGTCTACACTGCAGTCTGACAGCTCTGCAGCCTGAGCCCTGTGAGACCAAGTCAGCTGACTGGGGCCAGCTGTGGGGGTTTATTGCAGTGTAGATATACCTTGGGAGAAGCAAGTACTACCCATCTCCTCCCCATGTGGCACTCTGTTCCCATCTTGTGGTGGCTTGCCCCAAGGCCGCTACCTCACTAAAGGCACCCCGTTCCTTTATTGGATGTGCGTCAGTTATGTACAATTATTTCACAGGTGCGCCCAAACCTGCCTCAGAACCAGACCCCTAGGCTTTGTGGGTGTCTGAACATCATCCCAGATCCAGATCTTGCAGGTGACTCTATCTACCCTTATGGGAAACCAGCTTGAGCGCTTGGCCTTTCCCCACAGAGTCTGATGTGTCGTCACCCCAGGGTTTAGCCTTGAGGAACCAGCATGGTTCCATTGAAAGGGTGCTGGACAGGGAGGTATGAGGCCTGGGTTCTGCGCCTGGCTCTGCTACTGACAGCTGTGTGGTGCTGGGCAAGTCTCTGTGCCTCTGTTTCCCCCCCACACACACAACCACACATCCTTTGTAAGGTCTTAGGGGCAGAGACTGTCGCTCACTATGCATATGCAGCATCCAGCATGATGGGGCCTGATCTCAGGTGGGGCCTCTAGGTGCTACCATAATGCAGACAATGCTATCAGAGCATCCTAGATAACATAGCCATATATTTGGAGTGGCCACAGCTGTCCTGCAGTCAGTCCATTAACCTTGCGATTTGACGTGAGCGAATGGGCCACATTTTCAAACATACCTAAGGGACAGAAGAGCCTTATTTCCATTTTCAAAAGTGACCTAGACACTTGGGAGCCTCATGGAAAGTCACTTGAAAATGAGACTTAGGCTCCTAAGTCTCTAGGGTCTGTCACATTGCAGCTGACAGCAAGCCTCCCAGCCTGGAGAGACAGACTAGCAGTAGTGTGGCTCGAGCTAGCGACAGACAGGGCGATTTCCTGCAATACCCTAGTCAGACCTTAGGGAATTAAGTTCACAGATCTCAGGAGTTCATCTTATTAAACATGCAAATGTTTCTGTATGCTGGTGAAATGTATGTAAGTTCTTTAGGAGACAGCATGGCTAATGTAACCCTTTGGAAGTGTGATGAGCTTCGAAGGACTCTTTGTAATAAAAACAACAAGGAGTCCTTATGGCACCTTAGAGACTAACAAATTTATTTGGGCATAAGCTTTCATAGGCTAAAACCCACTTCGTCAGATGCATGGAGTGGAAAATACAGTAGGCAGGTATATATATTAAGGAGCTAGACAAAGTAAGGGGATTCCTAGGAAATCCTTGGGAGGAGGGGAATGCAAATGACCTACCCCTGGATCCAGCCTTTTGAAGCTGGTCTTCAGCAGGATCCCATTGTCTGGCTGATTACCTATTCACAGTCACTTCAAAGACCCAAATTGGATAAAGGAGTGACTCTCAGTGTATGTCTACACAGCAATGAAAAACCCACAGCTGCTGGCCTGTGCCAGCCGACTCAGGCTCATGGGGCACAGTCCGTGGGGCTGTTTCATCACTGTGTAGACTTCTAGACTTGGGCTGGAGCCTGAGTTCTGGGACCCTCCCAGCTCACAAGGTCCTAGAGCACAAACTTGGAAGTCTACACAGCAGTGAAAGCACTCCGCACCCCGACCCCTGCAAGCCCAGGTCGGTGGGCACAGGCCAGCCATGTGTTTTTCTTTGCTGTTTAGACATATCCTCAGAGTCTTGAGGGTTCTGAGCAAAAGTTGTTATGAGCCACAGGAAAAGCCTGGGTGGGGTTGGAAGGGCTGTGCACCAGCCAGAGCCCTTGTTGGAGTTGGGTGGGGTGATCTCCGGTGAGCTTATTAGCATGTGTGGGGATTCTCTTATTATTTTAATATGTTGTCTCTGTAGTGCTTTTACCTTAAAAAAATGTGCTTGCTTAGAAAGAGCTGTGCAGTAACTTAATTGTGACGATTGCAGTGTGTGCCGTCCGGGAGGAGAAAAGCAGAGCAGGCCGCCTCAGGCCATCTGACTGTGCTGGGGAGCTCTTACAGGATTGGAATCGGGACACTTGATTCTGTTCCTGACTCTGCCATAGACTCACTGTGCATAACTCACTTAGGCAAGGCATGTCACTGCTCTGTGCCCCACGTTCCCCATCTGAAAAAGGAGACTAATATCTAAGACATGGGTCAGGTTTTGAGGTTTAATCAGTGAGTTCACATGTGTAGAGTGCTTGTAGACCCAGGAATGGAAGGCACTGCAGAGATTGGAGGATGATTCTGAGTCATCCTTGGCACACTTTTCTCTCCTGTATTGACCAATAAGGGACTTTGGAATTCAGGGTAGACTTTATAGCGGTCCAGACAGCAGGTCACATCCTGAAGCTTTACTCACTTGCTACCCAGGCAAAAATCCTTTTGGCTTCCATTGGAGTTTGACCTGAGTGAGGACTGGCTGTGAATTGGGCAAAGGCCTCGTGTTTTGCTCATAGTGAATAAAAGTAAGGCCCAATGCTGCAAGGAGCCGAGCACCATTGACTCACAGTGCACACTGAGCCAAAGGGAGATGAGAGCGCTCAACCTGTTCCAGGCATGGAAACAGCTAGTAATCATGCCTGGTCCGTAGAGATCAGCCCAAGGAAGGGAGGTCTCCTTCCCAAGCCCCACCCCACTGTATGCCAGCCAGGAGAACAGAAAGGCAGGAGGGTCATAACTAAAAGAAGAGCCCTTTGAAGGTTGTGTTTGTCCTTCCTTTGTATTATCAGTCAAATGAAGGGAGGGAGGAAATGATTCCAGGGCTGAGTAGCTGCCAGTGTCTCAGGGAACCAGACAGCCAAGCAGGGCACCATGGCTTTGATCCAGAACCCATTGAATGCCTTATGTGCTGTGGATCAGACCCCCTGAGCAAGAAATCCTCCTCCTCACTGACCTTCTTCAAGCCTGGAAATAGGCACACCTCTGTCACGGGGGCTTAGGGGCAATTCAGTCAATCCTGCTGCCATGCAGAGGGAAGGAGTGTGTGACCCACTAAGGGCTCCTTCCCATGGGTTCTGCATCCTTCCACTTCTCCGTTGAAAGCACTACCTATGTTCTTTAAGTGAGTGGGGATTGCACCATCCTGCTGCTACAAGGTGTTGGGGAGGAGCTGGCTACCCAGTGGTCCCCCAAACTAGTCATAGCTCACTGATGAGGAGGCTGCAGGTGGGACTCCCCGCTGGCACCCAGTCTACTGAAGTGGGATCAGGTGCCTGGGAGGGGGGGTTAGTGTAAAGAGGCTGAAGCCATCAAGCAGATAAAGAGTGGTGTTCTGGACAGGGAAATGGATATGGGGCCAGCAGAGCTGGGTTCTGTTCTTAGCACTGCTCCAGAGGAACCGGGTAAATCATCTGTGAAGGAAGCAGCCTCTAAGGGAGATGTAGTCTGTCCAGGGAGCCTGGCTTATAGAGGACAGTGGGGGGGACGAGACAGCTGAAGTACACCTTCTACAAGGCACTGCTGCTGACCCACACTGGTATGGAATGTTCCATTGTCATTTGCCCAAAGGAAACAACAAAACATTTTAACAAAAACCAAAATTTTCCCACAGAAAGTTTCTATTTTATGGAAATTGCATTTTCCATTGAAAAAATATGCCCAAGGTGTGGCGCTGGATCGTCCCCTCAGGCTCCCAAGCAGCCTCTCTTCAGTGTGTGTCAGTCAGAGAGGTGGATAACATGTTGGCAGATTGTTTCTTCTTGCAACAGCTCAGCATGGTATTTTATTTGAGCTGTTGTTGGCTGTAAAAGCACAGGAAAAGTGATCCTAGATTCTGTATGCTCCTGTGACAGAGATCATGCAGACAGTAACCGATTAACAAGTTTAATCAGCATGCAAAGTAGGCTGTATCATACATGTGATAATAGGTCAGCTC